TGAGGCTGCTTCCTGGCCAGCTGCACGGTTCAGAGCTAAGAGCCAGCCGTAGTCCCGGCCAGGCTCCCCGGGATGGAACAGCAGACACTTTGGCACACACTGCTGACCTGGAAGCCGATTTGAAGGTGGGCGGGATGACTTTATAAGGTGCTTTCCTTTTCATCTTGGGTTCTTCAAACAGCACAAAACTAGCTAAAAGGGAGAGTTGTAACCTGGGGGGAACTGGTAAACATGGGTTCCGGTACCTCTCCCTCATCCCCAAGTTAGCGGCTTAGTGTCCGATGGAATCAGCCCCTGCGGGATGGTGTTGCGTCCCCAGTTTCTACATGGTCACAGCACGAAAAGCGAGTTGGACACTGAAAAATGTTGTTTGTACCTCAGTGATAAAAAAATTTTTTGACATTTTTACTACAAGTTTATTTTGAATTTAAGATTTTGCACGAGGAGCACGGCACACGCGCATGAAGTTACTGACGTCAATGAACGTAAGCCACGTCCGTTCACGTGACATGCGCGCGTTCACGTGACGTGCGCATTCGCTGACTCGGATCATTTGCAGTTCTTGGTTGTTTTTTTTTCCGTACCGTGGGTCGAACTCTGGTCTTTGCACTTGCGAGGCAGGCAGCAGTACCACTAAGCTAAATCCCCGTTCCATGTCCTTGATAATTTTAGAGGAAATTAAGCCAGAAGATGATTGTATTTTAAAATATTTTAAGAATGCGGGAAACTATCAACATCTCTGGCCATCACAGAAATGTAAACTAAAACAACACAGAGATGCCGTCTTACCCCATCGTGGAGAAATCAAAAAATAACAAATGCTGGAGAGGCTGCAGGGAAAAAAAGAGCCCTTCTCTATTGCTGGTGGGGACGTAAACTAGTACAACCACTATGGAAATCAGTATGGAGATGCCTCAAAAAACCGAAACTTAAAGTTCCATTCAACCGTGCTATTCCTGGTCTAGATATCCCCCCGAAACAGTTAAACCGTTAACACTTCATATTACAGGATCCATGCACACCCATGCTCATAGTAGCACAACTCATAATAGCTAAATCTTGGATGCAGCCTAAATGTCCATCAACAGATGAATGGATAACAAATTGTGTTTAAACATGATGGAGCACTACTCTGAAAGATGAGTCATTCCGGGGGAAATGTTAAGTGAAATAAATCAGACATGCAAGTTTAAATAGCACGCGGTTTCTCTTATATGAGAAACCTGAAATACAAATAAAGAATAAAATAAAAATTAGATAATAGGAAGTAAGAAGATAGATTTTTCTCAAGTGGGAGGCAGATGGAGAGACGAAGGGTGAGGGAGAGTGGGAAGGAAAGCGGATGAAAGACAATGAAGATGTGTTAAGCGCAACTCCACACAAGGAACGGAAACTTTGTGCGCTGCCAACATGGACTAATAAAAAATTGAAAAGTAAATTTAAACAGCATGCGGGAGACCAAGTAAACATGTAATCTAATCTATCTTAGGAGTTTTGTTATAAAAATAAACACAATTTATTAAATAAGCTAATAATCACAATCATTATTCAACTTTAAGTATCAGTTCAAATTGGCTTTACTTGCATTTAGGGAGATTAATCCATTCCTAATCATGCTAGAATCAATATTGTTTTATTTTTATTTAAATAGACATTGATTAGATTTGTATGCATTTTCATAGCAAAGCAGTGAAAGCTGTAGTAATTGTAATTCGTGTGATAGTTTTTTACAGAAGGGAACCTGTTTTTGACTTTTCAAATCATTTTTTAAAGTGGGGGAAGAAAGTTTATAGACTTTTCAAGCACATGTGTTCCTGCAGTACTACATGATGCTTTTAAAAAGTAACTTAACTTTTTCTTTTTATAAAAAGATAGTGATGTCTCCCTTACCATCCATGAAAGGACATATTTGTTCCCTTTAATATTTATTAATTTTTTAAATATTTTACTTCATTTGCAACAACTTGCCATTTTAATTTTTTAGTACATTTTTATTTTTAAAAAGAAGATACACAGGTGAATGGGGGTAAAGCTTTTAGATATATTCAAAAATATTTATAAAACACTTCATTGACTATTAAAAATCACTTCCAGGGCTGGGGATTGAGCTCAGCGGTTCGGAGGCCTGCCTTGCAAGCGCAAGGACCTGAGTTCGATCCCTGGTACCACAAAAAAAATAAAATAAAAATTAAAAATCACCTCCAACAATGGCGACTAGCAAAAAAAAAAACAAAAAAACAAAAAAAACCACATATTTTGTAAATCTGTTCATTTAACTATGACCTTTAATTGGAATACATGAATTTTTGCAAAATCTTAATTTGAGAATGACAAAGGATACTACCCCAGAATCTAATGTAGTTAAATATTAATAACAATGCTTTCTTGAAAGTATATTGCTGAGCCGGGGATTTAGCTCAGTGGTTCTGCAGCCTGCCTTATAAGCCCAAGGACCTGTGTTCGATCCCCAGTGCCAAAAAAAGAAAGAAGGAAAGAAACTATTTTGCTAATAAATGCTTCCTCATGAAATCTAAAGTTAAATAGTTTGTTTGTAGAATAGTGTCACGTTTCCTCCATGAAGTTCAATAAATCATCTTTGCTACAAAAAATAAAAAATAATAACAAATAAGGCATCCTTAAATTTGCCCAGTTAGCTGAAAGGCAGCCCAGAAGTGAGTCCTTCGGAATATTCTTGTGACTCCATGGTTGGTGAGCCCTTTACCAGACAGAAAAACCCAGAATCCACCTCTTGGCACCCCCTGGGATAAGAGAGCTACAGCAACGAATGCCACAATCAAGACCATTTCCTGTAATACACCTTCAGCACCTCGAAGGAAAATAACAGCACTAAACAGAATCACAAGAAAGACAATCACAACAGACGGGACTGCAACAACAGTCGGTCCAACAAAAACACCAGAACCAATATTTTCCCAGACGAATACACAACGCAAAGGAAGTCACAAATCACTCCTACAGATACAAGAGCAATACAGAAGAGATGACAACACAAATCAAACCCAAGGGAGGTTAGAAACCCAGACTCCCTATCCAGAAAACCCATTTCCAACAGTAAAGACTCAGTGCTCTCAAGAACCAGTAAGCCAATGAAGTCCGAGATCTGGGAGCACCCACGCCAAAACACGCCATGTTACCCAGAGAACTGCAGAGAGGCCAACCTGCCCAGCACTCAGTTGACTCTGGGTAACCAGCCAGGTCTGCCCGGCCCTAGTGCCCGCTACTGCAGATGTCTCCAGAACACAGACACAGTTTATGGTCCAACTCACCCTTCCTGCGATATCTTGACACATGAACAGGGCTGAGGGCCTCAACGCAACCTCTGGTGAGTGTGCAACCAAAGCCAGGTTGTTGTCAAACAACAACAGATTTTAGATTAATTTTAGCCAAATTCCAATAGCACGCACTCCAGGAAGTAGGTAAATTTACCGATAGGAAGTAGGTAAAGTTCAAATTAATAAGGGGGAGCCATTAGAAATACCAGGAATCCTTAACCATGAAGCAAACAAACAAAAGTGTCTCATGAGACAAAGAAAAAGAAAGCAGAGGCAGAAACAGAAGTGATGTCACAGGATGGAAGACGGGTGGGTGGGGTGGAGCCGTGTGGTGAGGAGGGCCACACAGCGGGGGACGGCCAAGAAGGGGACCTTACCAGTAGTGCTCAACACCGAAGCACAGGCTCAGGTGGCTGCTTGTCATCCAAGTGGAAGGTCTGTGCTGTTTATCACTATTCTGTCCTCTTCTTGAAGACCCTCAAACAGGAGGTGTCCCATCTGGATCGCCAAAAATGTTGCAAATCAGCTTAGGGTTCTTTTGTTTGATTCAGATAGAAATCGTGAGTGAGCCAAGTGCAGCTCTGCTGGCAGTCCTGATGTCACCAGATGACACCAGGCATGGCACATGCCAGCAGTTGACACAGCCAGCTGCTGGTCTCTGCCACTGCCAGCCACCACCCTCTGGTGCCAGACACTGTAGGTTGACTCTGCCAGGTGCTGGTCTCTGCTGCTGACCTCACTGGTTGCTGGTCCTAGAGCTCTTCTGAAAAGAGAGCTTTCTTTTGAACTGATTGCTTTGTCCACAACGCTCAGCATAAGAATCTCGAGCAGATTTACAGGACTTTTGGAGCCCACACGACCCAAGAAATAAATTGCAAGCTGGTTTCCAGGACCACTAAAACAAGTCTTTACTGGAACAGGGCCTGAGCTGCAACACAAGTCCGTAAACTGGAGCCGGCCCTCTTAGACCAAACTGAGAAGTGGCTGAGGAGTGCTGTTTATATAGCAGCCGCGGGCCTGTGATTGGTCCGAGTACAGGCCCATGATTGGTGCAGGGCTCCAAGACAGCCTCAGCTGCCATGGCAATGATCCAATGAGGGGGCAGAGATGAAACCAGAGAACCTTCTGGAAGGCCAGCTGTGCGAGTTGGGGGTATTAACAACGGGCCTAGATCCCTCCCTCCCCGGTCCTAGGCCCACCAGGGCGCCTCTTGACCCTTCTTCTAAAAGGCAGCAGCAGTGCCTGAAGTGGAGAGAGAGACGGAGAGGAGCCATGCTGACAGTCCAGCTGCATCCACGTTGGAGTGGCGTGCAGGAGTGGCGGCTAGGTAGCCAGGAGAACAGGAAGCAAGATAGGGTGGCGAGGGGAGCAAAGGGGCGTGCAGGGCGTGACAGCCCATGTGGTAAATGGGGAGCCTGGCTCGGCTCCACTGGAGAAACACCAGCAGCTGCTTCTGCAGCTCAGGAAGGTGCGAAGAGCGCTGGGCCGCCATTGCCCTTGTCCCTGCACTGTGGGTGACCAGGCTACAGTAAGATAAGGCCTCAGAGACGGCGTGCGTGCACAGTAGTTTGTACGACTCAAGATGTGACCTACAAGACCTCGGGCACAATTGGGAACACGGTCAAGTAACCAGGGCAACAAAATCGTTCGTCCCAAGGCAGAGGGGACCCAGGCGGAGCTCAGACAGACACAGGCGAGACCAGGAATGAAGAAACAACGGGCGGACATATCTGCTTTTTATTAATCTTTATTTATATGATTGTTTTCTGGGAAGCACCTCATTTTCAAAGCTAAACCTAAGGCAAGGTGCGTAAGGCACACAGGAAAAAATCTGCTGTATCGAAATACTTCTGCGATGTCTCAGAGAGAAGTTCTATTCCTCGAGCTCATTTGATTCGAGGTACTAATAATATAATAATGTCTGTACACGCAGAACAACAACAAAAAAAATTAAGCAAAGGCCAGGAGCACCAGGCCCAGGAAGAGATGCACCTACTGTCTTCACATTTAACCTCTCCTCGACAGGATCTCAGAGCTAACCGAATGCATCCAACCACATCTGCCAGTGAATGGTTCTCGGCAAATGCCCGATGCACGAAGAGAGGTGTGGGCACATCCAGGCAGAGTATTTCACTGGGTTTGTAGGGAAACGCTTGAAATGTTGTTTCACGATTTGAAACGTCGCTTCGTAACTTGAAATACTGCTTCATGGCTTGAAATGTTGCCTCACGACAATTCTAAAAGAAAGGGAAAATATTAGGGAGAAGGCTGTGAAAGACAGGCAGGGAATGTTCACCGCAGTCTTCGCCAGGCAGCATCGATAAGAGACTGCACTGCCTTCAACTCAATAAACCACTGCCTCCCATTGGTTCTGCAGAACACAGAAAGGAAAACAAGTTTTCTCATGGAAAACCGAGCCGGGTGTCTAACCTTTCTCTGTGCCAACAGATACCAAAGACCAGAAGAAAGTCAAGCCCTGCCGTTATAGCTCCTCCCACAAATTTCCGTGGGAGACAGAGAGGCAAAATCTACAGGATGATCCTGGCAGGGGAAATTTCATCAGCCCATGTGGCAGTCTTTGGGAGAGAGGATTTGCACTCTCACCCTACCAGCTTTCTCCTGAGATGGTGTCACCTGAGATTCTGCCCCAATCCCAATACCGGAAATGTGAACTCTCTCACAGGTCATTCACCACCACACGCCCCTAAAATCATCTTTTCAGATGTGTGGCGCCACACGCCTGTAATCCCAGTGCCCAGGAGGCTGAGGCAGGAGAATTGCTGGGAGTTCAAGGCCACCCTGAACTATATAGCGGGACTCTGTCTCGGTGTCACCTGAGATTCTGCCCCAATCCCAATACCGGAAATGTGAACTCTCTCACAGGTCATTCACCACCACACGCCCCTAAAATCATCTTTTCAGATGTGTGGCGCCACACGCCTGTAATCCCAGTGCCCAGGAGGCTGAGGCAGGAGAATTGCTGGGAGTTCAAGGCCACCCTGAACTATATAGCGGGACTCTGTCTCTC